CCCTAAACCCAAGCCCTAAAGCCTAAACCTGAACCGCAAAAGACCAAAAAACCCTTGAGCCCGGAAGTCGGACGAACCCAGAGAACCCAATATCCCTTAATTAAGGAATCTACCTTAAATTCTAGGGGCCTTGATATGATGATTTAAGGTCTATTCCCCAAATTAAGGGGTATTGGGTTCTCTGGGAACATGCTGAGTTCTTGCTGAACACCCTCGCGGTGGATGGAGCTCACTCCGCGGCCTTCGACTTTCCACAGGGCTCCGAGAAGTGGATCCTTTGTTTGGTTGAGGCGCTGCCTCGGGCCTCGGGGGCGAGGTCTTATGGAGTCCATTATGGAGTCTTAGGGTTTAGGAGTGTAGGGTTGAGTGGTTTAAGGTTCCGAGTTGGGGGGTTTGGTGTCTTCGGCTTCGGCAAGGTGGAAGAGCCATCTCGCTGTTAGGGTTTAGGGTTTGATTGTATTCGGTATGTCTACGGTGGCTACGGCGGACACAAGCTTTCATGGCTTGCATTGTTGTGGATGGCAGCATCGTTCCGAAACCATGGCTTGCCATCGGTGTTGAAGCTCGAAACCCAAAAACCCAAAACCCCTACACCCTAAGCCCTAAACCGTCTCAACGTTTGTGAAGACCGAGAAAACCTAATGAAAAGCCTACAAAACCCTACAAAGCCCCTCCGCGCGGGAAGCCAATCCAGAGGCGGCAATTATGAATCTCATGGTGACCCCAGTGCTGCTGCCCAACTTGCTGTGCCCTTGCCTTTGGTAGACAACACTTTTTGCGGTCTCGTCTGTAGAGGTTTTGAGGGTTTTGGGGGTGTTTGTTGGCCTTGGGCTTTGGCTTCGATTGCTGGTTGGGGTCTCGAGCATGGCACAAGCTGAAGAAGGCGGGACTTCGTTGTGTCCAGTTTCTTGCAACGAGGGGTTTAGGGTTCAGGGTTTAGGGTTTAGGGTGTAGGGTTTAAAGTGTAGTAGGATCCCTAATATGATTTAAGGTATATCTTCCTTAGTTAAGGAGTATTGGAGTCTCTGAGG